GGGGGGAATAAGTGAGCATACTGATAACGAATATATTATTCACAGGACCTGGCGGAGCCGGCTTTGCCAGCTAGTTATATTTATAACATACTACAGCAAATGTTGCTTTCAATTATACATGCTGAATATTGTTGTAACAAAACTAAAAATGAGTTCAAAATTTTTTGAAGTCCTAATTGTGCCTAGAACAATCCAATCAGCACAATTTTTATTAGTTAGAAAAGAGCAGTGAAACGGAAATTGATTGTGATAGACGTTTCGGCAATTTTAGCGATCAAATTCAAAAAACAAATCTTTAAATAATCTTTTCGATCAGCTATACTCGAAATGTCAATAAGAAATTTTAACTCAAGCAATCGCAGAAAGCGAAAAAATTTCTCCTTCAGTGTGAATCGAGTCGAAACGATTTTGTCGTGAAATTTTAGTGCACGAATGCATCAACATGATATTTCTCTCCCTCAGAGGTGAATGCCATATCCAAACTAATCAGATCCTTAGACCTGTATACTCACCGTTCCCTGCATGACCAGATTAGTCTTTGTTGCGACTAGACCTTGATTCAGACAATAGACAATGGTAGAAGTTCTTGGCCGCGACTCCCATTCACCAACCATGCAATCCAGTGTCACAGTTGGTTTTCGTCCAACAACTATAGCGGTGAAATTCGAATTTGACTGGAATCGCTCAGCTGATGCTAACAGACATACCTTCTGTAGCAGATTCTTCACTGAGGGAACCAAGACCACTAGTGAAAACGGAATCGCCCGTCACAGCGCGCTCATGCCGGGGTTGGAGCTCTTCACTGAATTGACAAAAATGATGTTACCGCAAATTTCAATACCTTCATCACCTTTCACGATGCGATATCCGTCTCGGTTCAGTATATATAAATAATGCGGTAGAGCTCTTTGTTCTACGCAGCTTTGGCACGGCTATGGGTGTTCGTGCCACTGACTCAGATGACTTTGACAAGCCAGAACTGCTTGATCGTCGTCGAGAAGGAGTCAGAGGCCGAACTTCAGTGCTACTTCTGCTACGCGGAGACCTGACTACAATCTAAAAATCATACACTGTATATTTGTTCACAGCCAAGAATGTTCAAACCTGAGGCGGCTGGAAGGGCGATGAACTCCGAGGAGGAGGGAAATCTTCGTTCTTCTTTATGGAATGCTCAAGTGCGTCTCGGTGTATGTTACTCTCCCAACCCAATCTCGCCAACACGACGGCTCCTGTGATGAAAAGCTGAGAGTACTTCAGGAAGCGATTCAAAGATATGTTTTATTACTCATCAAATCTACTTTTTTCCGACGCTTGTAAGACCACAGTAGGTATA